AAGTATCACTAATACAATTCATTTTTTTATGCGTTGCCAAAACATATGCAGCGTTATCAGGTTCTATTCGCGCGGCAAAAATTTAACTAGACAACCAAAATATGTTTCAAATGTGTATGGTTTTAAGTGAATTTTCCGTGTTGATCTGTCTCTCATTTTCTTTATCACCAAAAGAAACGCATAAGATCAGTCCGAATTTCAGTGCTTATGAAAATAGCACTCGTTTACGTAGCAGTTTGAACAAAAGCTACAAAATCGTTTTTGTTCACATTAATTTACACAGAAGTATGTACTAAACATAACGTAGAAGGGGTGATAGGGGAAAAATTGTTCCACAGACCGTTAGTTAGGTAATCCTAAAATATTTTTTTACATTAACGCGGGTTTGTTCTCCTTTTGAAAACTTTGATTATATTGGTAGGGAGCCGGTTACAAGCTCCCAATTCAAACAATTATTCAAATAAAGTAAAACCAAGATAAATAAAAAATAGTCGAATTAAAATAAAAACGTGTTAATAGATACACGTAATGTATTTTTAGTAGCTCGCAAACATTCTGTCTTATGTGTCATTATTTCAAATTTATTTATTACAAGCCCCATCATTTAGTTTTTTATTTTAAAGTCGGTTTCTCGGATTTTTGTATTAACTAAAATTCCAAAAAATAACATGAAACGTTTTTTGTTGTCAGATACGGACCAAGAAACAGTGTGCCGCCTCCTGGATACCCACCAATGGGTGTGAAGCAGATGCCTCCCATGGGGAACATAAACGTCCCACCTGAACAACCAGGTTATCGCGGTCGTTACGATGCCCCTCCGTTTGAAGAAATTCCACCTGGTGTTGAACCACCCGTTCCTGGGTTTGAACCATCACCCTTTGAGAAACCACCATTTGGTCCGCCTGGACCAATTGAGCGTGATCGTTTGCCTCCTCCGAATTATAGAGATCCTTATCGACCGCCTCCTTACAACGAAGGTCCTACAAGTTACAGGGATGTATCAATACCACCACCTGTACCAAACGAAATTCCTGTTCATGTTGGCGAGCAACCACCACGATATAGAGATAATTATAGACCAGGTCATTATCGTGACCAACCTATGCCATTTAGGGAAGGCCAAACATACCGAGAGCCTGGACCACCTGGATCATATCGTGACCCTAACTTCAGAGGGGGACCTCCTCCCTTCCGCGATGGCACTTACCGAAATGCTCCTTATAGGGAAGGTGGCTTCCGTGATAATCCGCCTCATAATAGTTTTCGTGAGCCAGCAGCTCCTTTCAGACCACCGAGTGCAGATCCTCGAGAGCCAGTATCCGTTAACTACCATGATCCAAATTATCGCGATAATTTCAGAGAGGAAAACGCTGCTTCTCGAGGTCCTAATCGTCCTGGTTTTAGAAACAATGTTCGAAACAGGGCCGCTCCAAGACGAAATGCTAATGTTGAACATGACAGACACAGAGATAGAGAGGTTCGTGAAAGAGAGAGATATAATGACAATCGAGACCCGACAGAAAAATCGGAGAGACCTCGAGATTCTGAAAGAAGAGCGGGATACGACAAACCTCGTGATGGTCGTGAAGATCGGGCTAGAGAATATGAAAGAGTTCGGGATCACGACAAAGAACGTGAACACGATAAGATAACTCCAGACAAAAAGGTTCGAGTGTCACCAAAGCGAAGCAGGGAAACACGTGAGAAAAAACGTAGTGAGTCTAGAGGACGTTCTCGTGATCGTGATAGTAGAAGAGAGAAGAAAGAAGAAAGAGCTCGAGACAAATCTTCTGCTGATCGAAGTAGGGATCACAAAGAAAAAGAAAAGAAGCTTAAAGATCGAAAGAAAAAGAAGCGAGAGAAGGAAAAAGATAGCGAGAAGAAGAAGAAACGCGATAAAAAAGATAAGAAAGATAAGGATCATGTGAAAAAGGATGACGATGAACCTGAAAAGGAGGAAGTAAACAAAAAGAATGACAACGAATTGAATAAAACAGATAACGATAAATCAGCCGATGTTAAAGTAGAGAACGTGAATGCCGAAACAGTTTCAATAAAGAGGGAAAAATCTCCTAAAACACAATCTCCGGAGAAACAGGAGAAGAGTGATAATGACTTGTATGGCGATGAAGTTTCTGGTGCTGTGGACAAAGAAATTATAGAAAATTATGTAAAAGCTGAAGAAAAAGACGTGTTAGAAGATACAATAAATAATTCAGATAATTTAAACAATTCTAAAGAAGAACCGTTTGACGGTATCGAGCTTCAAGCCAATGCGGATGAATTGGATTTAAAGGTTGATACAGAAGTAAGCAATCCAACTAGTAAGGAGATGTTAGCAACATTGCCGGAACTATCCAAGTGGGAAGTAGATGAAGATAATGTAGAAAAGGCTAAAGAGCCAGGAGAGATAACTTCTCCAGAAGAGGAAGAGGATGGGAGCAAAGTTACATCTGACGTTATTAAGCGCGCTGAAAAAGCTATATTTGCGAAGGCAATAACTTCATTAAGACCTATAGAAATAAAAAAGATCAGCAGTGAACGTTTAAAACTATACGACGATGAAGGGCAAAAGCCACCAATGAATAATATACAAATTACGGTCCCAGTAACTGATTCGGAATCTAGGTCAATTGAAATTAACGAAAAGAAAAAGAGATACTCGAAAACTCCACCACCTCGTTTGTCTGTTAAAGACCGACTTGGAGGGAAAGTGGAAGAATCTCGAAGGGGTAGAGAAACGCGCATTGTGCAAAGTACTGTAGAGCGTGTTAAATCAAGATCCAAAACTCCTAAGCGGGAACAACCTTATAGACGAGTGACTGTGGAAAGAGAAAGAAGTCGAAAACAGGATGCCTCTCGAATAGAAATGGTTAAAAGCGAAAGGCGGTTAATGTCTGAAGCTGTAAAAACTGGCGAAAAACACCGAGCGCGTAGCCCCAGTGAAAAGAAATATATTAAAGAAGATAAAAAGATCAACACAAATGAAAATAATGGTAATCGTGATCGAGCCCAGGAGAAAAATGTACCCGAAGGGAAACATACTGACCGTGAGAGAAAGAAATCCACTTTGGATGAGGCCCACTTTGAACCAGATTATGATGAAAATGTAGAATCTGACCATGAACTGAAGGAAGAAAATCCTAAAAAACGAGAACGTTCAGCATCGCCGGCTGATGTGAGCGAAACTAAAAAAGTGAAACTTGATAATGACACTATAAAATTAGATTTGAATAATGTTAAAAAGAAACCTGATTCAGAGAGTGAATCTACTAGTGACTCCGAATATTCATCATCATCCTCTTCATCTGATGCTCGCAAACGTAAGAAGAAGAAGAAACGCAGTAAGAAAAAGAAAAGGCGAGCTGCGAGTGAAAGCGAGAGCGAGTCCGAATACAGTTCTGATGATCACAAGAAAAAGAAAAAGAAACGTAAGCATAAGAAGAAATCTAGTAAGAAGAAGAAGAAATCAAAACATAAGTAAACCATAATTTTCCTTGTTTGTATACTGCATACATTTTGTTTTGTTTATTATTGATAACTTATGAAGATAAGTTGATAACAAATGTAAATAAGTTTCTGGTGTTTTTGTCAGTTACATAAATTAGTTTTGAACTCTTTAGTTAGGGGGTTGAGTCAGATATTTTAATAAACCTACGTATGTATGTAAAATTCTGAATAATAAAAAAGCTTGTAATAATTCTTGTTGTTTTAATTAACTTAAATTGATTTCATCGATCGACTTGGACATTTTTAAATAAACAGGTGCATCAGCAGCATTCATGGTAGTAATTTAAGACACGTATTCGGACACGTTTCATAGTTATAGTACTAAGTGACCTTTTATAAGATTCGTTCGTATATCCAGTAAATAGTAAAAAGTTTCAACTCGAGATTTTAAAATCATTAAACTTCTCAATTAATTTACTATTACAAAATTATGAAGAGTGATTTAACACTTATTTACCAGATTCCATAGGGAATTCTACAATATTAAATGCACAGGCATTACGCCGCTCTTTTTAATCTTTGATGGAGTGGGTACAGATAGATAGAGATGAAACGTTAAGGCCCGATTTCCACAAAAGTGTAGACGGTAGACGAGATGTGCCGCTGACACGTTATAAGTGGCATGTTATGAGTGTGGGACACGAATGATTCGGTTAGGAGTATTATCATGGTCTCATAGCAGAAAATTGGCGTGAAACAAATAAAGCGTTTAGTTTCGCCGTGAGAGTTACCAGAGGCTCAATCCTTCCTCTGAAATCCTTATACAAAAGGACCGGCAACAACTCGTAATTTCTCTAGAGTAGCGGATGCTTATGGTAGGCGTCGATTGCTTACCACCAGGCAAACCGTCTGCTCGTTTGCATAACATATCCCATAAAAAAGTTATTTCCACCAAGTTTTAGGGTGTTGAGTAAACTTGCGTAGCAGAATCTGAGCTGCGGTGATCGAAATCAGGTTCTAATCAAGTTCTGTCTACGAAAAATATACTTCAGCCTCGACTAGACACTTCTGCGCTCTGCCGCGGCACGTACTTGCTCCCCTTACTTTATTTGTAAAAAGAACTGATTGAAATATTAAAATCGGAACGATTTATTCATACCGACTAACTCCATAACCATAACTCCATAATTGAAACATCTTTGATCGTCCCTTCCGCACGCTTTGGCGGATTTTGAGACAAACGCCCTCTCTTCATTTTTGCTATTTATGATACAAGTTCTAGTTATAGTGGGTGACTCTCATCTACTCGAGTTGTTTGCTTCATGGTGCCCCTTTTGTTATAAACTAATATGAGCACTATCCAGCTATCGTAATACTACTACTGTGAAATTGAGAAGTACATACGGCGGGATAGGTTGGTGTGCTCACTCGGTACCTTCCGTAAAAGGTAGTGCAAAGGGAATGCGTTAATGTCACATATCATTAGTCTTACGTTTTGTAGGTAAAGAAAATGGTACCAAGGTAGGACGTATAGGGTAAAAAAAGACTAATTAATTATCTTATTGTTTATTTTACAATAACACATTAAGTAAAAAGAAAGGTAAAAAAAGATTCCGTGCTACGACTGAGAATTCCAAAATCAAAAAATGTTATAATAACCAGATTCGGTCACAGTATTATTAAGTCAAGAATTAACTAGACTATAGACTTACACAAATCATGTGGTTGTGCAAGAACTACCTGATTGTTAATGCCATAACATGATATCACGCCTTGTCATATTCGAAGGGGGGTTGGCTGAGGTGATTTGTTAGGGGCCTATAACCATTGTCCGGGCACGATTTCAGAATCGGTGCTAATAATAAATGAAATGTTTGAAAAACACCTATAACCGCCTCCGGATTCAAAATTGAGAACCCATGCTCGGCAGTCGCGCCCACTCAATGAACGAAATCGTCTCGTTAATTAATAAAATTTATTGCAATATGAATATTATTGAAGATAAGTGAATAAATTATTATAATACCGAGATATTTCATTCAAGATTAAAACAAGATCTATTTACGGCCTCGACGATACCCTCCTATTAAGCTTAAGCCTACGTGGTGGAACCAATTTTTGCGTATGAGATTACGCTCATACTTTGCGTTACTGCGGAATTCACGCCATTCTGCCTTCTTCTGGGGAATGCTGGGACCATACGTTTTCTTAGCTTTGAACGATGTCTTGATAGTCTGTTAAATAAATAAAAGAATCATTATTATTAAGCCATTCTTTAATTAAAGGCATTAAAGTATTGCAGCTATAACTTTGTCTTCAGGTTTAGGGTTTAACTAACTTTTCGGTAAGTATGATATTTGGGTCTAAAAAATGTTTGTCATAAGTTGGTCCTTTACATCTTTAATTCAAAAGTTTAAAATTGACTTTAATTGATTCGACATTTATATACATATATTATTAGGATAAGTAGATGGTAAAAGAGATAGATATGACATTAAAAATATGAAGATAGGTGTTTACCTCAACAAAGGTGCTAGTTCTGTATTTCCAAAATGTGACTGCCATGAATAGAGGAACCAGGGCTATTCCGAAGTATTGAAGGAATGAGCCAGCAACTATAAAAAAAATATAGGTAAGTATCGAAAATGTGGTACCTGCTTCATAAATCTAACTACAAATGCTAAAAACACGTACGGTAAGCACCATCCGGATAAATGTAGTCACCGAACTTCAACTGATCCGATGTGACCAAAGCGTAGAAGAAAACGGTCATCATCATAAGTGGTGTCACAATACCCCAACAGAAACGCCAGTAAACTGATGCCTTCAGACCCAACATGTACTCAATATCCAAACACATGTTCTCCAAACCTGAAATGTAAAAACCGTTTTAGCTACGCTGCTTCAGCTGCCATAGTACCTATAGGTACCCATTTGCATTGGCGCTAAAATATAAACAGAACACTTTTATGCTTTTTCCGCAAAGGGCTCATAACAGTTACCTATGCATAGTTGGGCATCGTTAATAAAATAATAAACTTCGTTAACCGCTAATCCGTTACTGAAAAAGTTAAAGCGTTAATTTTCAAAAGATTTAACGCAAGTTAACGTCAGTCGTTAACACGTGATAACTATTGGTTCTGGAAGTATACAGGTAAAAAAAAAAAAGACGGATATAATCAAATTAGAGTGTAATATAGGCATGTTGAAAAACAATTTTGTTTTTCATTTAATTTGGATTGTTAAATTTGAATTTTATCTAAAATGCTAGTTGCTAATCACTAATAATCTGGCATAATGTTAATATTCCCCTTCATGAACATTAATATGTTGAAGTTCTCATCAGAAAGCGAGGCTCGTTTCGGGTGTAGAATATCTTTGCCCGTGGAGAAAAAACGTTCAACTGCAGCGCTTGAGGGTATAGCAGTATTATATTTAATAAACAGATTTGCTTATCCGAGCAATGCCGCATCACTTAACGAGTCTTTCGTCTTCATAACATTTTGACGAGACTTTGAGCTTTGCCCTTTAAAGATTTTTGGGTCTAAGTTTTTTTTTAGAATGAGTGACAGAGTTAAAAAAACCACACCCGCCGGCAAAATATTACCAGTCCACTCGCGGCGCGTGTAACGCACGCGCTGTAGGGACTTGTCAATCGTCGTAGACGTTCACGTCAGAACGTATACCTGTGTTAGATTAACGATTAATGGACTTGAAAATTTAACGGAAGTTAACGTGTCCGTTAAAGTATTTTTAAGTTAACTTAAAAGTTAATCCGATACTCGAAATGTTAACTTCGTTAATTAACGATTAACGAATTAAAGTTTAATGGGGTATATTAATAAACTTCAATGGGGTTCCCACGTAAAGACGCTTTCGGGTAGACTAAGCGCTGCTGTTTTTGCAGTTAGACAGATAAGACAGTTCACAGACGTGAACACAGCAAGGCTTGTATATTTTAGCTATTTTCACAGCATTATGTCGTACGGAATTTTGCTGTGGGGTCGAGCTGCGGAAGTAGAATCAATATTTATTCTACAAAAGCGGGGTATCCGAGCGATATATAACTTGCCCCGGCCCCGTCACGAATCTCTGAGAGAACTATTTATTATTTTACGTAAGGAAAAATTTGCAATTATTTGAAAAAAGAAGCGATAGACATAGTTTTAATACAAGGGGAAAAGATAGGCTGGCTGTGCCACGATTCCGTCTGTCCAAAGTACAGAAATTCTTTATGGGGTTCTATGTAAATTGTTACAATACAATTCCAAGTAGTGTATTGAATCTTAACGAACGAAAATTTAAAACTTATATTAAACGCGGATTGTGTTAGACAGGGCCTATGGGGAGGCCTATGTCCAGCAGTGGACGACAACAGGCTGATGATGATGATGATGATGATGATGATGATGATGATGTGTTAGATAGGCATACTACTAACTTTCAGATTATATTGAGAATAAGAATGCCTGGCAGCTTGTTGATTCGGCTCCACTGAACAATACTCAAATAAAGTCAGCAGTTAGTAAAATTCTCAAAAATAATGAATCCTTAATTTATATATCCAAAGAGTTTATATAGAAGCACTCTTAAAGATTGTGAGTACGCATATGCGAGCGCCATGTTCGAGACGATAAAGGATAAAATTTTTATGATAGGTCTCATTTGTTCTTTTTTTACAGCTTGTTTATGCATTGTTCTCAGATAAGAGTAGGTACAATAATGTATACTAAATATTATATTATTGTAATTGTTAAAACAATTTTTTTAAAAGAGTAACGATGAAGTTTATTTCTCGTTCTTCTCCATTCGAATTTACAATTTGGAATGAGCACCTAGCTTCACTGACCAACAGACTGACAGACTACTTTTCTATTTTGACGTTTCAAAAGTACCTATTTATGGTTTAGTTGGAATAAATGATTTTCACTTTGACTTGAAAGAGTTAATGCCCAGACCTATGCTACACTTTTTTTTCTAACAAGCACATTTTTCGAATATTTTCTTACCGTAAATCCAAAAGACACCTATAATCTCAACGATTGCAGCAAATAGCCTCATGAAAGTTCCACCGTAGTGGTCAACCAGTTCTAGTATGTACTGACCGCCCTGAAAGTTTAAAAATAGAATTATTATTGAGGTAAGTACAAGAAATTGTACTCTAATCTATAGCGACTCAATAATGTGTAAAAAATCAAAGGAGAACAGCTTACCGGGGTAACATAAACGAGTCCAACTAAAAAGCATGCTGAACACATTACAGCCGACGTCACGATTGTGGGGACTTTAGGAAAAGCGTCGAGGAAGATCGTGTTAACTGTCGAAAACAAGGCCACTCCCGAGCCAACACCAAGCACAGCCATCATCAAGAAGAACAGGGAGGAGAATAGCTGAAAAATCAAGGAAATTTGTTAAATCATAAAAATAAACTTACTAATAGCCGTTTTAATTTTGTACCATGATCACCACTTTTCACCAAATGCTTAACGCAACAAGAAGCGAGCCTATTGCCGCTGGGCGTTGTTCCAGCTTTTGTGCTTTTACCGAAAAAATATTTTGATGGCTAGTGGCTTGGACGTTAAAGTTCTGGTGCGGGTTCTAAACCTGTTAAGTAGGACCCAGTGTAAGTGACAAGTGAGTTTTTCCAAATTGACAACTTTTGCTTTTAATATTATTTGTTAAAAGATATTTTTATCTTACTTGCGGTACAAACGGAGACTGTGCAATAGCATCTGGGTAGGAGACAAAAGCCAAGCTAGAACCCCCAGATTTGATGATAGTGCTGATGTCGTCTTCACCCATTTGGAAAGCGAGGTTGCCCAGAATTCCGAAGATAGTAATACCAGATATTAAACTTGTGAACGTGTCCAACGTGGTCACAATCATAGAGTCTCTGGAACACGGAGAAACATTATTTAAATGGTTGTAAAAAACAACAGTTTTTTGTAAAGATCTGATACATAAAGTTATGTTATTCCAATGGTTTTTGACGAGTTGTTAGAAGGGAATGTACCATGGCACTTGCAATTTTGCATTTTACCTGTATACGTTCTGTGAAAACTTGTTGAATGAGGAGAACATAATCAGAGCACCGGAGCACGTGGAGAGAGAAAAGAATACCTGTGTTGTAGCTGCGTACCACACCTACAAAAAGTTTAAATTTGAATATAAAAAGTCTTTATTTATTGCTTAATTCTCTAGGAACTAGTATTTTATCAATATTATTTACCCTCAATTCCAAAAGTTTTGTCCACTGTGGTGTAATGAAGAATAATATTCCTTTATCGGCGCCGGGTAATGTAACAGCCCTGAAAATAAACGTAATTAACATTTATGTAATTGATTTCAAGTATGAAACTTGATTTACAGTGTGTAGGTTTCTTGAGGTGTGGTTTCCACGACAGTTTTCCACAAATACTAAATTTAATTCGCAGTTCTAGAACTACGTCAGTTGTTCTCGTAGCACACGCTACGATCTGCGACTATGTATATTTGTAGCGCTTATACTACGACCGTAGCCAATGTGCTACGAAAACTATTTAACTACGATGCGACTGTCTTTGTAGTGGATCGAAAACTATGTACATTAATGTTTTAGTTTAGCTACGAAATTGTTTTCTCGTTTGCTACTTGTATTGAATAAGATATTTCAGTATTTTACCTGATAAGTAATATTAACAAGACGACATATGGGAATAAAGCGAGGAAGTAGGCTGCTTTTCCAGAACTTTTAATACCCTTTGCAACGATTACGAATATAATAAACCAGGATACCAGTAAACTTAGTGTTAGGTCCCAGATTGGTGTACCTGTTAATAAAATGGAATATAGTTAGTAATTATTGTATTAAATTTAATAAAAATCAATAATAATGTATTTTTTTAATGCGCTGTACTTTTGCTACTTCTCGCTGAATTGCGGTGTTAAGATTTACAATAACTCTTACGGGTACACTTATTGTGACAGAGGGGCAACTACGGAACCCTACACTGAGCGTAGCCCGATACGGCACTAGGCCGGTTTTTATTATGTTTTATCAATATTACTCACCAATGCCGTCATCGATACCATCAGATTGACGTAGAATTGTTTTCCTGTTAACAAAAAATGTAGCTTAAATAATAAATATTGATAACATATTTGCTTATGTATACTTGTATATGTCTGAGAGTATACTTATGTATTGTTATTATTTCTATATGTGCAAATACTATGACTAGATTTAGTCTGTGTTTTCATACATTAACAGGCCGTAAGAGGTCAATATCAACGTCAGCGTCGTTGTGTTTCGCCGTGTGAGTGACGTTACCGGAGGCGCAATCCTTCCCCTTCTCGCCATCCCTTTCCAATCCATAAATGTCCATGGGCGGCGCTGATTGCTTACCATCAGGTTACCCGTCTGTTTGTTTGCCCAACTATCCCAAAAAAAAAATGTTGAACTGTGCCGTTCCTAAAGTGTGCAAGAGCCGGCTTTGGCACTAATGGGTCGGCTCAACATCAAATAATTACAGCGTTTTGTTTCACCGTTTTAACTCTAATCCCCAAGTAGCTGGCAGCGCACTCTATTCCCGTGATGCCGGTTGCCGCCCAATTGCATAAAAACATGTTCTTTTTACATAGGAAAATGTCTTTACATTTTTTAAACTTAAAACAACAAATTTATCTGTACTTATTTATTTTAATCGAATGACATTTAATGCGATAGTTATTTTGCATTTACTTAACGTAAATGAACTTTATTTTATTACCAATAAAGTACTATTTTCACTCAATTGCATTGATATTTGGGAGTCCCCGATATGCACCTACTACGTTTCATCTATATGAAATAAAATTGATTCAGCTGTCCACCACAGATAGGGCCTCAAAGGGCTGATGTTTAGCCGGGGTTGCAGGGTAAGCGCCATGAGGCACCGCTGCCTCGCCCTAGAGGAGAAGGAACCGGTGGGGCTTTTAGTCAGTAAGAGTCTGACACTTCCTCTCGCTCCACCTTAGGTGGGAGAAGTCATTTTGATTTCCCCTTTTCCCATAACAAAAAAAGCTCTGATCACGTTTGAATGATTTTTCGGAGGTCGGTTGGTTTTATAGATACATTCCCTAACAGGGTGATAGATAAAGCTGATATTAATTTTCTCATAATTGCGGTAACGAAGAACTATTGCCATTCGACTAACAGTCAGCCTGGCTGCAGCACGTGCTATACATTATTTATTTTTATTTAGTACAAGTAAAAGTGACACGTGACTCTTGTTTACGGGGGATTGTGACACCTCCAGCATTATCTTGGCTTGTCTTATCACCTTACTAATAATTCAAAATATTTTATGTGTATACCTAAATACGCAGCGTGTACATTATCAGGTCATGTTTTATCAGTTATTAGGTGATAAATTAACATATACGTACATATATTTTTTGATAAAACGATTAAATACGACATATCTGCATATTTTAATGGCACGTGGGAAATATTTACTTAATACATATGTATGTAAAGCAGAGTTTTTTTTTGTAGTAGAGATTTTCTTGAAACAAGCTTTGATAGCATACGTTGTTTGTTGTGAAACGGGCTAACATCATGAAAAGTTTTTAAAAAAATGAGCAATTAGAGTAATAATTGTGATACGTTTTTCAAAATTAAATCGTGTAGAATCGTAATTCTGGAGTGAAAATGTTGAAAAACAATACAAATCAGCAGCCTATTCGTGCCCATGGCGATTTCAAACTTATTATGTTATTATCAATACTTATAACAAATTTGTAGAGGGCTCAATCCTGTACATTAAATATAATTTAAAATAACTATCAGGGGGTGATAAGTGATCGATAATGATGTCAAAAATGCAATGAGTAAAATTTTTCTCTGTCTTTCTGTATGTTCAATATAAAAAAAAACTTGGTACAATTATTCTTTATACTCCTGGGCAGGGTTATAGGATACTTTTCATCACGTTAAAAATAATAGGAGCAGAGCAATGAAAGGAAATTTTGGGGAAACGGGAGAAGTTACTCCGTGTGTAACCTCCGGTTAAAGTTGCATAGAAATTATGTATGACGGCAATACTCTACATAAAATTACCTATCTAAAAAAATAATGTTTTACAGCATATTTGGTAACTCAGGACGGACGGATAGCGGACACTTAGTAAGTAATAGGGTATTAACCCATTGGAGAAGTACCCATAAAAATGAGACGATCAATATCAAATTTTATGTATACTTCGATTTTGTTCTATTTCTATAGGCTGTTTTTTATCAACACAGCACGCGGGCGAAGCCGCTGGCGGGGACTAGTAAAATATAAAAGTCCAAATTTCCTTACGATGTTTTCCTTGATCGTGTGTGTATTATCTCTATTCAGGGGAAGACACTTTGCTCCTGTACTTACATCATAAAAATAATTGCTTAATAATTCTGAGTTTACATTTGTACAAAGTCAAAGTCAAGTCAAAATCATTTATTCCAACTAAACCATAAATAGGTACTTTTGAAACGTCAAAATAAAAAAGTAGTGTGTCAGTCATCAATTGTCAAGTGCTCATTCCAAATTGTAGAAATAGAATTCGAATGGAGAAGAACGAGCAAGAAACTCCATAGAACGAGCAAGAAACTCCAAAGAACTAGCAAGAAACTCCATAGAACGACCAAGAAACTCCATAGAACGAGCAAGAAACTCAAAATTATGAATGTGTCCTTTTCTCTTTTATATCCTCTATTAAGGGGCAGACACTTTGTGCTTTATGTGTCATGTGTAGTAAATTAATGTTTTTTTATGGAATAGGTCGCAAATATTGCAGACCTATTACTCAATGTTAAGCAATAGGTGTCGCCCATGACATCGAGAAGCTACAAGTACATTGCCTTCTTTTTGGGAGTTAAGTATTAGAGTTTGGTTATGGGGAAAAGAAAGGAGGAAGGGGATTGGGCCTCACATCTCTCACATAGCAAAACTGCGCAAGCGTTGTTACATTTTTGAGTTTACCTCAAAATTCGGTTTTTTGAGAAAGTGGTACCACTCCAGCCCAGCTAGCTTTTTTCAAAGCTGTGGTGAGTTTTTGATCAAGAAATTGATTCTCTCTTTGTAGTCTAGATACGACATAAGATCTACAGAGTGTTTTAATATAGGTAATAATTAATAAATAATATTATAATAAGCCAGTCGTACTTACGTGAAATACAATTCAGCACTGGTTATAGGTCTGTTTTGTATCAAAGACAGATTGGCTACCTCTCCAGAAGGAACGCAGTCTACCCACTCTGGTTGGCATACAGACCAAGGCAGAACACTTTGGAAGCTCATGATTAGATAGTAAAGGCAAAGTCCGACGATTGACATGTAGTAAGAGACGACGTAGAAAGCGCTGAGAGCTTGAGCGTAGCCCGTTCCTAAAACAAATATAATTGAGCATATCAGATTTTTTAGTGCTGACAATTCACTTTAACTTAGGATCCTATGGGTAAAATATTGTTACTCCTTTTTGTTGATCAAATTCGGTGGATGCTACATTGAAAATACTGTCTATTTTGCATTGTATCATCTGATAGCCAAAGCTTTAGTCATCTTAGAATCTGATTATCACATCGAGAGGAATTCGTGTTAGTAAGTAAAAGAAGAAACAAAGTTTATAGGAACAACTAACCTTTCATAGCTGGCGACAAAGCCCATACCTTAACACAATTACTGCTACTGAATTGACCAAGGGCAGTTTCCAAATAGTACATGGGTTTTCCTATGAGTATAAGTACGATAATGTATGGAATAAGAAAGGCGCCGCCTCCATTTTGATAAGCGATGAACGGGAATCGCCACACGTTGCCGAGACCGACCGAGGTGGCGATACAGGACATAAGGAACTGGTATTGGTTGTCCCATGTCGGCCTTTCAATTTCAGCAGCGGATCCAACCTGGAATAAAAAATTTAAAACATATAGTAGATGATTTCATATTTATTTTTATTATAAGTTTCGTGACATATACTAAATTAATTATTATGTTTTCCTAGTCTACTAATCCGATTCCTCGTCCAATAATTACGTGAGTAAGCGGAAAACATAATAATTAAGAGTGCTTCTTGCTTATAGATTTTTGATAAAAAAAGAGAAATAGTTTGTATGGTTTAGCTATTTATGAGTATTGTAGTATTTATGCATTTGTTTCCTGTTGCGCTGGTGTCATTGTTCGTTCATAATCTTTTTAATGCGTTTTTATGAGTTAGGTTTTTATAACATGCAATCATAAAATATTCAAAGAACAGGGTTATATTAGTAATAAATACTTTATTTTCCAATTAGCTGATTCATAAATTAAATTATACTATACCTACATTACATATAAGGCATTTAGCTCAAATATATCTGATAACTATAAAGGTATTACTTAGTTATCTAATCTTGTGACAATGTTCTGAATAATAATTTGGCAATGATCTATTCAGAAGTTTGAAGCAAAGAAAGTAAATAACCTACCATTCAAGGTCTTAGCATTATGATATCAAACAGTCACTTTGTATGTTTTATATATTATTATGACAAGAACCTTTTCTGTCTAATGGTGGGAAATGCATAACTAGCATTTTATATCGGGCGCTAGATCCGCAAGTATGATTATCGAGTGTAATTTTGCTGCCTAACACATATCTGCAACAAACTGTCAGTTTGTTTACAGTAACTACACAACGTTACAATTAGGTACCTACTGTATTTTTTTTATGGGATAAGTCACTTTGACAGTCATTTGCATCCCTAGAAGTGTAACTGGTGCGTTGTTGTCCTTATTCAGGATTTGCGAATTTGATGGCGGGAGAATTGGGCCTCAAACACAATGCAAGTATTGTTTCACACAAACAGCCACTCGTTCTGAAACCTGGCTTTCCCGCGTGAAAACTTATATAAAGTTTACAATAGTGTTTAATTAGGTATGTTTATTAAAAAATGATTATAGACATAGTTTTAAAAAAGTTCATTATATAATGTAAGGAGTAGCTAATGCCATGGGCATTTTAAATAAGTCAGACTTTAAAGAGACAAAGAAACCAGCCAACGGTACTGCGGTCTTCAAATAAAATTAAGAAGATTTTAATATATCGTTCTAATAACGGCCTTAGTGATAAATATCGCTTAGTTACTTAACTTTTATCAATGACGCTAAGGCAAATAAAATACGATTTAGATACTGATTTGCGTTAACGATACGTAAATAAACATACGAATTTCCTTCTTTTTTTAATTATATATTCCATTTAATCATTTTGAGTAGGTATTTGGCTATGATAATGTTTTATTCTTTATAATTTTATTATAATCGTAAGTTGTATAATATTAAATATTTAACACAATGATTATAAAAATGATCCGTGTTTTTTGCCTAAATGCATTGCAATAACTTGCTTATTAACCTGACTTCCATAATAATTAAAGAGTTTTTATTTCCATATGTGTTTTCTAAAGATCCTATCCAAGCCAAATGATGAATGACTACTTCGGTAAGTAGGTTAGAAAACAGCACAGTATTTTGAAACTAAGTTAAATGAGGTTGGCGTTTCCTACTTCATACCTATTCTGAGAAGAAATACACAAAAAACTCAGAGCTAGTCTTTTTAAAATCTAATGGGAAAACTGTATATTTTAATTCCCCAATGATCTTTTCCCTAAAGACTTATCTATATGAACTTTGATTAATTGAAAATTTCCATTTTACTTATAGATTTTATCTAATTTTGTGAACACATTGTTGCTATGTATGAAACATGATAAAAATTTGGGATTTCTATAACTATATGTACCTATGTTATGTGTCCACCGATATGCTACACGGATGCTTGCGTACGTAATTCGTTTAACAAACCATAAAAATATTGGGATATACACATTATTTTATTATAATTCAGGGATCATTTCTTTGTTTGACGTTCAAAGTGCTTGTAAGGGTCTTATTGAAATACATGATTTTTACAATTACTCTTTACGGAATTATTTAACAGTTCGGAAAAAATATTAAATTTAACATTTTTAACAAGTAGTGTGGTAGCTATATTGGGAGATTTTTAGTTTTTTTATTACTTTCAGGACATCACGCGAATGACACGCCCAATTATAAGAATTATAAACGCAAACGTTTTTAACCATGTATGGAAGGATGGATTTTTATTATTCTTTTGCATAAAAATGAATCTGAATGAAGTTTACCACAGCGTTAGATATAATAAACTGAGTAAAGTAATTACTAGTTCCAAGTACAATAGGTCTCTTACCCATGATTTCTTGTAAATCGTTATTTTCAATAATAATGGTTGCTCTCACGATAGTTAAATACAAAAATAATTAACGACGTGCTTTTTTATTTTTTAAGAATAATAGTTTAAATTGCTTTTGGCTGTGGTTTTGCGCGCATTAAATTTCGGTATGATACCGCGGGTCTTTCCTGATTTAAAATACTGAAGAGACCTCGGAACGTAATATTATTTTAATATTACGTTCCGAGGAGGGGAGAGGAGGAGGAGGAGGTTTAGGATTCCTAGTATAACATTTTCACCTTTCCCCATGCCGGTGTCGGTTAGGATAGTGGCGCTAATGATATTGTGTTACATAAAATTTCGTTCTATCACATAATCTCTGGGCATCTTAATTTCGCATATGCGTGAGAGGGGTGTCTAGTTTAAATCACAGCTGGTGTCAGGTGGATCGGCGTCATCTACCGGAATTTAAGAGCGACACGTATTTTTAAAAGCAGTTTGATTTATAGTTACACTAGCTTTTGCTCGCGACTCCGTTCGCGTGGAATAGTGACTTATTCCTGCAAATTTTTGGTATAAGAACTATCCTATGTCCTTTCTCGAGTTCCAAACTATGTCTGTACCAAGTTACACAGAAAGCGGTTCAGTAGTTTAGGCGTGAAGAAAAGACAGACAGAGTTACTTTCGCATTTTTATAGTTTGGATTTACGTACTGCCTGTTTTACCACGATATCATTTCGATATCTTTGTCATATAAGTACGATTAAGATGCCGATATATTTAAAATCTGACACAGATCTTTAGTGTTTCTTATTGTTTTGTGACCTTTATATTTAAAAATTTCGTGTCACGTGTTTGTCCGCGATGGACTCCTAAACTACTAAACTAATTTTAAAATTGATTTGCATTCCGTGTGCATTTTGATCCAACTTGAAAGATCGGATAGATTACATCTCAGTTTATAGTCACAATATTATTTAATTGTAAATTATTTGTCCATATGTAATAAGACAAGAACCTTAGCCACAGTAAGGCGTGACTGGGTCTGCTGGTTTTTTAATAAAATACTTGAATTCGTGTATATATCGTCGTATAATACGAGTAGAATGGACGTCTACTAATTTTCGTGCTCCTGGGCAAGCAAAATAAGAAATTTTAGCATCCTACCTTAGACACACAGACACACACCCACACACACTTTTTTCCAAACAAACATTACCTGAATTTTTGATTTTTCTAAATAAATTACGCATTTGAAGTTACGAATAGTAATGTACGTAATACCTAAATAAATGCAGTCCCGCACAAAAAACATCTAGCATCTCAGTAGGATTTTTATTTTACAGAATTGTTTTGTTGTTCCGAAGTAAAACGTCGACCTACGTACTTATCGCAGCGTTTTCATGCTAAGCCTTGAACCTACGCACACAATGACACGAAGCCCGTTTGCTTTGCATTGCGCGCAATAAAAAAAAATTTTTTGATACCTAAAAATAAAAGTCGTTTCCCAGTGATAATTTTAGCCTAAAGTTACTTAGTTAGAACTGCAGTATGCGTAGTTAACGGCTTCGTTATGTGTCTTTTTACAGCCTTTTTTTTTTTTTTTTTTGTGAGGGGAAAATCATCAAATTACTTCTCCCGCCCAGGGCCGGGCAGGAGGGAGTGTCAGACTCTTACTGACTAAAAACCCCCCTGTTCCTTCTCCTGCTCTGTGCCGAGGTCGCGGTACCTCATTGCGCTTACCCCGCAACCCCGGCTGAACATCAGCCCTTTAGGGCCCCGTCTGTGGTGGTCTATTGGCTCTTTGAGGCGCGCGCGGAACGCTACGCGCCGTACGCTCGGGCCTGGTTCTGGTCGGGCGGCGAGCTGCCCTTACTCGCCGACCGCAGGCCCGTGCTTACGGTGGCCGGAGATCGTCCCTCGATCCCCGACGCCCGTAGTGTCGCCAGTTGCGGCTGCTGGGGCGTGAGGAGGAGGATTGCTCCCTCACGCGGGCCGCCTCTCTCTTTGCGAGCATGACTGCTTCACAAAAGGAGGAGACGGCGTCCCAGTTCCTCTCACTCTGCACCATGGCCTCGACTAAGGCCGGGCGCGAGAGGTCGCCGCCGCCGATCACTTCCCTGAGGATACGGCGGTGCTCAGCCCAGGCAGGGCATACCGCTACCGTATGCTCCACCGTATCCTCTAGGTGGTCCTCACAATGACGACACTCGGGCGTTTCCTCCCGCTGAATCCGAAACAGGAACCTACCGAAGCTGCCGTGCCCGGTAAGCACCTGCGTCAGACGGAAGGTGAGGACGCCGTGGCGTCTTCCAAGCCACTCCTCAAAGAGGGGTCTTACCGCTGCGTCTTTTTACACCCTATATATCAAGTAAGTATTTGTTACAAAACATAATTATCGAACTTGTTACTAAATTGTTTGCCTAGTTATATCTGTGTTGGTTGATTGAAGTTTCAACAGGTAGTTCGTCCTAAATTCCATTGCGTTCAATCTTTATTTTATCAGTTGTGAAACGCCGGTATAGTTCCGATAAATTACAATTTAATTACAACAATACAGAAGCAAGTGCTATATTCTCTTGTTAACCGATTACTTGTACCTATAAATGTAAATCCTATAAGTGTGATGCCTAACTTTAGACTTATGGTTTATGAAGGAATAGGTGAGAGAGGGACACCAGTATCCCAAGGCGGCTCAGTCAATAATACAAAGGAATCCCACTATTTTTGTATCTTACTTAATGTCGGAGAATGAGTTAATTTTAAGATATTTTTGCATATATGTATATAAAGAATTCAGTCTCTTACAAGGGAACATCAATCAAAATCCAGCATCACGTAAGTGATCAGTGATTAACTGATAGCATTATCAGTTGTATTTTAATAACCTCATTTGCCCGACCTTCGTTTTTCTTTAAAATTTGGTATAAGTTATTGAGTAAATAATAATTTACTTATTTTATAGGTAAATCATATAAGAAAAAGTTTCCTAATTATTGTATCGATCGTTAGAATGGAAAATCACTAATTCGAAAATTATGCAAGTGGAGTGCGGAGCATAAGTATATTTACTTAAAAAATATTTGTTAATTAGTTTATGACCTTAACATATAATGAAGATACATGTAAAGTATTGCGCATTTAATATTGTATTTGTTGTATTACTTTGCTTAAAATTATTTTTTATTCGAGTATCAACTAACGCCAGACAAATGTAAATTGAAAAAAATATTTTTTTACATACTCACTAAACAAATATTTGGTACTTATAATTATTTTAAAACATTTTAATCTATAAAACAAACGTGTGATAATGCTGCATCACTGACACAATAAATATTTACCAATTGGTTGCTACAGAAAAGTCAAAGCAATGGACTTAATTTTGTAAGATCAGTCACTTACTTCAGCTTTTTCTGGCAAGTCTGTTCCGTTGAATTCTGGTGGTGGGATTTTCTTAGATCTGTCGTCATATTCCGGCGCTGAATCGAAACCTGGATTCTCACGACTTACATTCTCAACCACATTCACGTTGTTTGAATCCTATTTAACATAAACAGTATATTTATTTGATAGCAGTTCAACATCAATTTTGAAACGAAATTAAAATATATTTTTTTATTTACCATTTTACGATATGTGTGGCGTCTTAGAAAACTTGCCACATCAATATTCGTGGTTGAAATGTCCTTTGATTAATTGCTCTTCGGTATAATACATAGAGATAAGTTTAATGTGATATGGTAATCGCAATATCCATCTATAGATTAAGTTTTTATCTAAATCTTATAATAGTTTTATTAATGATGTTTAGTACTTGATGCATAATTATTATACACATGACTTCCTTTCACGGCTTCACTTCGCAGAAGTTCTTCTTGTAACTACATATATGTTTTATAGGTCTAAATTATATGAAACATGGGCTGGTTGTTTACTTTGATCCAAGATTTTTAAACAATAAATGTATGATTTGCTACATGGGTACAGTAACGGCATTAGTGTTCGACAAGGGCTCTGTTAATGATTTTTAATTTTTACGCCAAAAAAGAAAATAATAGAAGGAATTGTTTTTTTTCAGTATATAGGTAGGTGTAATAATAATAATTACCTACCTGCTCCATAAATCAGGTAGTTCCACTGAACCCAAGAATTATAGACCGATTACATGTTTAACGACTGTCTATAAACTTTCTACATTCATTTTGAGCACAAAAATTATCACCATCGTGTGTGTCTCTCAAAATAGATGTAGAAAGGGGTCTCGTGGAACCAAGGAGTTTACTTTTCATTGATTTCATTTCATTAATTAGCCAGCAGGTTCATCGATCCCAAAAGGAGTTGTCTTCTTGCTGAATAGACTTATAAAAGAGGCTTATAACTCTGTGCTACATACATGGCTTGTGAAGGTATTGGAGGTATATACAATCAATACAACTGTACGCACCTTTTTACAGTCATGTATGTAGCAGTTGGATACAGAATCCTACCCAGAATGAAGGCAAATCCAAAGGATAAGAATATTCCGGAGTGACAGTCTGAGCCCATTGTGGTTATTTTGTCCTCCAGAATCCTCTCAGTACTTTACTTAAGGCTTCAGGGCTGAGCTATTGTTTGCGGAGCAGAGGTCACATTACCTCCCAATTTTTATTACGGGCCTCCCAATTTGTGGGCCGCACATGAAGCAATTGTTACAGGAGCGTCTTCTTTGGCCACCTGAATGGGGCACTGAAAACTTCGTGGGCGGTAACAACGTGCGAGCTTTTAACGGTTGGGTAATTTCAATCCTGATGTATTTGTTTGGCATACTCAAATGGACTCAGACTGAACTTTACTCCCTGTATAGGCGAGTCCGGACACTGCTGGCTGCAAGTCGAATGCATCGCCTTTATTTGCCACAATCACAGAAAATATTTACTGAAAGCGGATGGAAGTAAGCATCGTGATGTAGGCGCTGTGGACAAGGGATTCACACCACTATCCTTGGGTAAATAGAACAAGCGCAAACCCGTATTACTGAGCATCAGTGACCACAAGGAGGTGTAAAGCTTCACGGACGCTTTTTCCAGGCTTTTTACGGGCCCTATGTAGATTTCCTAGCGTCCTTATCTTGGCTACAATTCAGTAATCTCTTCGGAGAAACTGAAGGATTTTTATGTGCAATTATGGAAATATAATACAAAGGATGGGACTGTTGACATATGTCGGCCATGTCGTAGCCCCAGTGAATCTATCTGACATACTTGCACTGGCATACTCAGGTGGCCAAGATTATTCATCAGTAACTTTGAAATACCGGCTTGTTGACTCTGAGGTAACGTACTACACAAGTATGTGGCCGACCCAGTTCTAGAAAATGGTCATATCATATTTTGTTGAGATCAGTCTATCATCAATGATAGGACTATTGTAGCCAATATGCCTGAAATACTGATGATAGACCGACTGGCGCATCGCACCATTTCTCATGACGAGAACGTAGTGAAAGCTGAGAAAGATAAACAATTTAAATATCTTGTTTTGGGTCTTGGGTCACGTGGTTGTTGACATGTGGAGTGTGGACTCGGCTATTATTGTGCCGATAGTTGTGTCGATTAGTGATGTAACGAATGTGTGTTTTTGAACATTCGCGAATGCGAATGCGAATATCTGATATCGACATTCGCGAATGCGAATGCGGATGCGAATATTCAGTTTGTGTTCAAAGTTGGCGCCATTTGTATGGTTTGGTGGCAGTCTCGTACTGAACGAGGTACGTTCCGTTATAGGCGCATTTCAAATCAGACTAGCCAATACTTGTCGCCGTTTTCAGCGCGTATCGGAACGCAGGGTCTATTTTGTTCCGAGATTTGCCGAGTGGATACGAACTCATCCGATAGATTTATCATTCCGCTTGCGCCGGTCTTTTCGTAAACAAACATTTTGAGGTTAGTTTGTGCGTGAATGTAAATAGTGTAAACAAACATGAGTAAATCAAATGCTAGTGAAATATGGACTTATTTTACACTTTGCGATGCAGAAAAAGCTAAATGCAAGCTGTGTAACAATGAATATTCAAGGAAAGGAAGAACTACAACTGCTATGAGAAATCATTTGAAAGCAATGCATAAAACCGAGTTTTCCGAATTAGAAAAATGCGAAAAACGAAAATATGATTATGATGCATCTAAAACACTTCAACTGGCATCATCTTCCCATCAAAGTACAAAATCCGACATGAAGCAGATATCGCTCCAAGAATGTATAGATAAAACAAAACAGTGGGATAATAAATCTTTGAAGTCTTTGGCGGTTGATAAATCAATAAGTGAAATGGTGGCCTTGGAAGACTTGCCATTTAGTTTCGTGGAAAGTGTTGGATTTGTGAGACTGATGAAGCATTTGTGTCCATCATATAATTTAAAATCTCGCCAATATTTCACTTCATTTATCTGCGATGAATTATATGGAAAAGTAAGTCAGAAAATACTCGAATTGCTGAAATCCTTTGAAAAATTATCATTTACAAGCGACATTTGGTCTGATACTTGTTCTGGAGTTGCACTGCTAAGTTTAACTTGTCATGGGATTACAGAAGAATTTGAAAGGAAAATGATTGTGTTAAAAGCAGAAGTGTTTAATGAGAGCCGCCACACCGGAGAAAATATAGCCTATAAACTTGAAGAAATCTTGTCGCAATGGGAGATACCTAAAGAAAAAGTTAAATGTGTAGTTCGCGATGAAGGTGCTAACATGAAGAAAGGTGTTAACTTATTAAACGTTAAACATATTGACTGTGCTGCACATAAGATTCAAAATGTGTTAAAAGAAGGGATGAAAGCTCAGGAAACTGTCACGGCGGCTATTACAAAATGCAAAAAGATTGCAACTCATTTTCATCATTCGACTTCCGCTCAAGACGAACTTGCTAATATACAGAAAAGGCTACTTCAAAAAACCCTTAAGATTAAACAAGAATGTACAACTAGGTGGAACAGCACTTTTCATATGTTAGAACGTATTTTGCAAGTCAAAGAGTCTGTATGTATTTATGCATCGACAAATAATAAAATTCCCCTATAAACGTCAGAAGAGTGGATGATTATAGAAAAGCTTTCCGGTGTACTCAGACCATTTGATGAACTAACTAAAGAGTTAAGTTCTGCCGATGTTTCCATATCTTCTGTGATTCCTTTAATCGCCACTCTAGAAAAAATTGTGGGTGATCTTGACGCTACTGATGAATATATTGGTGATACAGTTGCCGTTTTAAAAGACGAGCTTATTCACAAATTTTCGGGCTTAGAAAATGATCTTTTGTACGCCACTGCAACATTTATTGACCCAAGATATAAAAGCAAGTTTTTTAAAAATATGGCGATTAAAGAGCGTATCATAGAACATATTTTAGATTTGGTAGGAGACAATCCAACCGATGTATCTGCAAATTCACGTGGTCCGAATGCAAAGCGTGTCAGGTTAAATGAAACCGAAGACTTTCCGACAAATAAACGTGTATCTTTAAAAGACACTATGAATTTACTAATGGAAGCAAGCGACAGTGAAGAAGAAGACATACCGCTTGTTGCTTTTCAAAATCCTGTCCAACTTTTAATCCGTAAAACTGTAACAGAGTACGTTATGGAAAAACGCGTGGCAAATGACGTCGACCCTTTAACTTGGTGGAAAGTGAACAAAGAAAGGTACGGTCTTCTGTTTCCTGTAGTTCGCCATTATTTAGTTACACCACCAACGAGCGTCCCTAGCGAGCGTATGTTTAGTGGCGCTGGACTTATTTACACACCACATCGAAATCGACTTGATGGAGATAAGGCGTCAAAGCTTTTATTTTTAAAGTTTAATATTCCTCTACTCAAGTTTCATTATTAATATAAAAAATATGTTACAGAAAGTTGAATAATTGTATTTTTAAAAGAAGAAATATTTTTAGTTTGAATAATTTAGAGTATATTTAAAGTTTATTGTGGAAGAATAATTAGTTTTTGTTTCAATAAGTATTACATTATTTTGTTTATTACAGATGATGATTATCTAAACGTAAAAAATATGTTAAGTTGGATAAAAGTTTCTAATTTTGTTTCTAGTTTAGTTTTTGTTTCTTTAAAGAGTTTATTTATGTTTATTTCTTATGAAACTATTATATTAACTACCTATATCTAAAGTTTCATTGCCCAAAGTAAATAAATAATACCAAATGATAAAGTAAAGACTGACAATGTGATTAAGAGGTTTACTTGCAATAAAAAGGTTATAAACGAATGGATTTTGATTTTTTTAGCCTACCATTATTTTAAAAATAGTTTTTTTCTAAGAAGTACATATTCGCAAAACATTTTGCGAATGCGAATGCGAATGCGAATATGCAAAAAATTGCGAATATTCGCGAATGCGAATGCGAATATTCGTTACATCACTAGTGTCGATAGTCAAAAGCTTCAACAACCTTACAGAAGGCAGTTCTCCTTGAAACGGCACGTACTTTGAGGTTTTCTGTCTCTGGAGCCTTAACCAGCTGTAGCTTGGACCTTGTTCTCACTGCCGGCTGGTTTGTATTTTTATATTTTTTGTATTATTTGTATCACATATTTTATAGTAATATGTAATATTAACTAGCAGTCTCCGGCGGTTCCGCCCGCGTAATGTCGATTTTACACATTTTAAAGTTCCCTCTTGTTTCTTTTTTCTAAATTTGCTATAAACCTCACGGAGCCTGAGACCTTTCCAACAAATACAAAACCATGAAAACACCCGACTTATTTTTATATAGTAGACTAGCTTTTGCCCGCGACTCGCGT